CAAGAAAATGTAGAGATATATGTTAGAGGATATGTGCTTTATCATCTCAGTGAAATGGGATGAAAAGTAAATGAATACAGAAGAATGTGTAATTTTAGTGTCACAATCTCATTTGAATTTAATGTCATCAGTGATTTAATGCAACATCAGCTGTCTTACGAGGCTCTTAGACAGGAATAAATAGCGTGTTGGGTTCCGATGCACAAAGACTGTCTTACTCCCTTTACATCTTTGTAATGAAATACTTGTCCTAATGATTTTGTGTCATGAAAGTCTGAGTATTTATAGTTTTATCAATAAGGGCATGTGGGTCATACCTTGGCTGAACACAGCGCAGAGATGTGATCCATTTAGAGACATGTTGGTGATGGTGTACATCAGCTAAGTGCTGCATTTTTGCTAAACACCATGCTATTAGCTGGATGTGATTCAGAGTGCTGTGCAAACTGTTTTGTGGTTACAGCAGTGCACTGACAACTTATATACGCAAGCTAGATTTAGAGCTCTATGTCATAACAGGAAATGATGTCACCCAGGCCCCAGGCTCAACATCTTGTATCCTGTAAGCAAGCAGGTTATCAAAATTAAGCCATACAGGAAAGGGGTTTTTCACTTCAGTGCCATTTCACTGACTAAACTGGCACACCTACTGCTCTCACCACCTCCGCCTCACTCCACCTTCATTTTAGAGACTTGTTAAAGGATCTTTTTAATGTAGAATATGTTTGTGAATATCTATGTGTTTCATCGTGTAAACTTCTTTACTGCTGTAAATAATTTGCATCTTAATAAATCACTTTCTCTCTATACTTGTTCTCACGCCTAAAGACATGTACCCCCACCAACTACACTCCTCCAGGTGTGATGTGTAACTGTCTTTGCCTGATCTCTCTTCCCACTCTGTGACCTTCTCTGCTGCTTACTCAGTTTTTTCCACTAGCTTCCATCTGTTTGACACCCCTATCCCCACCACAACTAGCCACCTTTCTAGCCACCACTTGAAAAGAGCTGTCAAAGTAAATTTCTCTGTACCCAACCACAAGAGGTAATGTCTTTGATGGCCCATTGAGGAGGGCCTCAGCTGTGTTGGTGACTCACAAGCAAAACACCACCATTGTTAATGTGAGCTGACCACTTTGTGGCATTACTCATGTCTTTCTTGCTGACTACGAACACCAAGTCTGGATAATTTGAAGCTTTGTCCGTAAAAGGTTTTTCCTTGGTTGGAGGAAGACGCATTTTGTTGTCATACTTTTGTTGTAGTTCTCATTGAACCTGTTGTTGAAGGAGTGGCAGCCGCTGGTTTCCTTTTCTTCCTGACCCAAACACAATACTATCAGCAGTCTGGAGTCCCAGCACAGGAAGTAAGCAGCTTGAACCTAAAGATGAAGCATAACAGACCTTTTACAACCATCTACCTAGCTAGTAGCCTAATTAAAAACGACTCGCAATTTCACATGTGCAGCTTGAATGAAAAACATTTCTGTTTTATTCCTTCAGACAAACATGACTAACATTAAGGCCCCTCCAGAGCCTTGAAGTTAGTCATGTGTTCCTTAGAATTTGTCTCAAAGCTCTTGCTAGTCATGTGCTGCCATGTCTTGGTAAAATGATTAATCTGTGAAATAAGAATTGTAGCCAGGAAAAGAAAATAAGAGGTTATTTTATGATAATAAATGCTGGTAGTGTAAACACAGCTGTGATAATTGGTTTGGCCTGGTTTTCATTTGCTAACTCAAATATTTTTAGGGTAACACTTTACTTTGAGTCCCTCTATTTAGCATTTATAAGTTATATTCGAATAAGCAGGGGACACAAACAGGCCTTCAGTGTTAAATGTTTTTGTGGGTCAGACTTAATTTTGGTATCTTCATCCCTTGAGAGGGTAACAAGATACAGAAGGTTGACAATCTCAGCTTTCGTCTTTACTTAATTTCATTGTCAAGCTTTGTCACAGCAGAATTGTGAATGAAAAATACTAGACAGACTTTTTTCCTGATCATATGATACAGACAAGGTTAGAGCCATGTTAATGACACCACCACGCAGACTACTTTCTCAGCTGTTCAGAAAAGCATGCTCACGCCTAAAAACCTGAAATAGTTTGACCTGAGATGGACGAGAAAAGAAAAATTTTAAAAAGGAAAGCGTAGAACAGCGGAGGCCATTTGTTCAGTAGTCTGGTTTCACTGCCCACCTGTCAGACAAGAGACTCAGCTGTTGTTGTGATGGAGAAGACTGGATGCTGAGGCTGGATCAAGTTGAGGGACTTGGTAGTTAATGAAAAGCATAAAGCAAAGCTCCAGTTTCTTTTTCTCACTTACCTGCTGTCCTGTGCATTCTCCTTACCTATTCTTTTCTCTCTCTCTCTCTCTTTGTATACAAACTGCATCTGGAATTTTTTTGCCCAACAACCTGACCCCTGTAACTCCTCTGTCAGTGTGCCCACCGCTGTGGAATTAAGTTGTAAATTATGCAGGGGAATGCCGCATCATTTCAGACGAAATGTGGTGTGGTCAGCACAACGAAGCAGGAGAGTCTGTAGGGAAACGCTAAAGGGTGTTTGTGTGAGGTGGCAGGTGCCTTCACACCTGTTGCTGCAAGGCATGCCAGACATACATACTGCCTCAGGCATCAGCTGGCTACACATGTCAAACGTCAATGAAAGTACTCCTCAGTCATGACATGTGTTACATTTACTTGGCTTGGGCATCTGTCCCATGACGGCATTTAAGGTTGCAGCACGAGAAAGGTTGTGTAGTCCACCTTGTTGCCTAAAATAAACAGCAGATAGTAGCAGGTGGTCCTTAACCCTGATGCTTTAATGCTTACAGTGGAGTAAAATGGTGCGACTGGCCTGGGTTTTGTGTCTGTTTCTTTTATCTTCTGTCATCCACTTTGCCTGCTAGGCATAACTGGCACATTCTTCATATCCACATGTCACTTTGAGATGCTGGTCTTGCAAACGCAAGATGAGGCTGTTCTCTCCTGGGCGATTATTGAGTCCTGACAACTGCTCAACAGCCAGGCCTGCTGCCAGAGCTCATCAGCCCTGGGAAGGCTAGCGGCAGGCTTAGAGGGGCAGACTGGGGTCAGGGGGGTTATACTGTGAGAAAAGGGGAGGTGGTGCAGCTCCAGGAGCATCTGAGCTCTGGTTTCACCAACAGCTTCGACCTCAGTTGTCAAATTTCTGTTTCTATCCTCATGGGCTCAGGCCAGTCTGTCGCTTTCTTGCACACACACACACACATATTATAGCAACATAAAGTCAACATGACTGTCACTCTGTGTCACACTTCATATATGGCTTTCATGACCCGCTGGCCTTCTGTGACTGTCTGCTTGTGATTAACCCTCAGATGGAATGACACACATGTGCTTTTTCCAGTGATCAGAGCTTCAACCTGATTCTTGATCACAAAGTAATAAACCTGTGGCGGCACACCAGAGGATTTTTGGGTTGTTTTATACAGTATTTGTGCTTTCCAAAATCAAGGAAGGGAAAAAGTTTGGAAAGCTTCCTTGGAACCATTTCACTGCAAAGATTATTTGATGGTGTGAGAGGTTTAGAGGTTCAGTCTAAACCGTTCTGATCCACTCACAGTCTGACCTGAGCTGGCCTTATCAGAATAAATTATTGGGATTTACAACCTGAAATTTAGACAAATTTAGGACAAGGCGAGGAACAAGCCCTAAACAGTCTGTGACAGTCATATGTAACATGTCCACTACAAAATCAGGTCTAACATGAGAACAAAAACTGTCTTGTTTTCAAGTGTATTTTCTGTCTACTCATTGAAACAACTTGGATATGAAATAGATTCAGTAATACAATGGCAAAATGACACTTTTGGATGTGACTACTATTCCTAAAAATAGCCGACTAATGTTCAGTATACCACTATTCATAACTTCACACTGAGAGTCAGTGAACTCGTGCTGTAGTCTAAATAGCCTGACAGTTTTGTCATCTGAAGCTGTGGGCCCACTAAAGGGAAGTTACTGATGACCTTGTGGATTCCAGCCTGCCATATGTCTACTTATTAAGAACAACAGTTTGTATAATTTGTCAGATGTGTAACTGTTATTTTGGGTTTTAATGGTGGATAAGTAAGTAAGAGAGTTAGTATATGTTGGTGAGACATATGGAAAGGATATTTAGCATGCTGTGTGGTCTTTTTCAAGATGACATCATCTCACATGATGCCTGTTCTGTGTAACCGCCACTATTAAGAGGTATGCACATCTATAGGTACGAGCCCCTGTTAGGAAACTACTCACAGCGCTGAGTGTTCCTGATGAAAATACTGAAACATTCTGCACTGTTCTGTAGCTGACCTGCACTCTAATTTCAGCTTGAACAGGTCATGGGTTTTTCTCATGTTAATAAACTGATTAAACTCATTGAGTTTTTGTGGCCATAGCACCTAAATTTTTGAAATGCTGTGCCTGCTCACTTACAGTCTGCTGACTTAGTGGTTTCTTTAGAAATTCAGCTAAAGACGCACCTGTTTAGACAGGTGTTTGGGTAACTTGAATGCATCAGATCTTTATTTTATTCATATTTTGTGTATTGCCCTTTTGGCATGTAGCTCATGTAGTCACTTTGTGTTGTATGTTTTCGTTTTTTGCTATATAATGCCTTTGTGAAGCACTTTGTGACCTGTGTCTGTGAAAAGCACTATATAAATAAATTTTACTCACTAAGTTCAGACAGAGCATGTCCAGTCAGAATCTATCCTCCATGCTTAGGCAAGCAAAAAAAAAAGTTAAGCTACTGTTAGCAGTCAATTTAACATCAATTTTAACATTAAAGCAAAATGTATCCACCCATCTAGGAAAGGTTAAAGTATGCTTATCATCTCTCCATGCCCTCTCTACACCAACAACGAGCAGTAAAACAATAAGCTACCACATCTTATAAATGTAAATGTTTGGTCACATTGATATGGTTTATGCCAATTATGTTGATTATAAATGACATTTTGTCTTCTTTCCAGATTTTGACATGAAGAAGGACATAGACACATTGATAGCAGAGGAACGCGCTGAAATCATCTCTAAATATGACAAGGTAAGCCTGCCACCTAAGTCAATACTCAGTATGATGCTTACGACACTTCTGACAAACAACAAACTTGAGGTTTTGTAGCTTAAAAATTATCATAGCTCAGTTGGAGGAAACTGCACAGTGGGGCATTTCCTTGCCGTATCTCTGTCAGAGATCATGAAATTCTATGTTAAGTTGGCCCAACGTAAAAAGTAAAATCTGGATTCTTTGGAACATAACATTTCCTTTAAGGAAGGGCAGTAAAGGTGTATCTAACACAACAGAATGGAGGAGTGAGTAGTCTGAGTGAGGCCCTGAGTGGTGGCTGCAATCTGTGGACTGAGAATAGATTTGTTAACAACAGGCAGAGAAAATGGGATTACTGGGAATGATCAATTAATGACTCAGAGACTGGATGTTGCATGCAGTTCACACATTAGGGTTAAAACCCTTTTCAGACCCATTAGGAATAGAACAACAAGAGAACCTTGTGTGAAAGAGAGGACAAAAAAAACGGGAAATGTTTGTCAGGTTAGTGTTGTTTTAAATTCTAGTATAGTTTGGCTGATTTACAAACAAATGAAGCAGGCAAAAAAATGACAGAAAATCACTGTTGTCACTGTTTACATAGCATGTTCAGTTTATTCTACTTGTCCTGTCTGTATCACAGTTTGTTTGCAGCACACACAAGCACTGTCGTATGTCACTTTTAAACAGTTTGTTTTGCACACAGTGTTTTCTTATGGGGGTTATGGTATGTGGATGTTTCAGGGCAGGCAGGAGGGTGTCAACATTGACCCATGGGAGGACGCTGACTACAGCATCTATAAGGTCACCGACCGCTTCGGCTTCCTGCAGTAAGTTACCCGACTTAAAGCTCTGACGGCTTCCTTGCAGTGGTTTGAATCTTCTAATCTCCAACTTTGAGAACGCCTTCATTTGTATCTACATTCCCTCTTCCTCTCTTGTGTCTTTCTCACATTACGGTGATATTTTGTATCAGTGCCAGATTATCCTCTCTGTGTCCCTATTTCTAATACATGCTCTGTATTTCTGCTTGTCCCCTTCAGCGAGGAAGAGCTGCCAACACCCAGTGCGCTTGAAGAGAAGGTATCAATTTTAAACCTGCACAGCAAGTCCAGATTGATTTTGACCTTCCATGTGATATGTTTACACCCACATAGCCACTGAACCTCATGATGTCCTTCTTTCCTCTCCCCAGCAAAAGCACCACGAGATAGAGCGAGTGGAGAAATGGCTGAAGATGGTGAAGAAGTGGGACAAGTACAGAAACAGCGATAAGGTGCGCAACTCCATAGTGGTGGACGCACCGACATGCTGTCCTAATTTAGCCCTCTCTTCCCTTTTTTCCCCTCCTCAGCTATTTGATGTGTTATTTCCGTTTCTGTTAATAATCTGTTTTCCATTCCCCTTTTAACCGCAGCTTATTCCCTTATCCCTACCTCCCCTCTGGTCTAGACAATCAGAGCAAGAAAATAAGTGCCTATGATGAGTCCTTGTCACTCAAGAGAGCTAAAAAGGCTGCATACCATAACGCAGCATGTATACTTGACCCGCTGCGTCTCTCTTCTGGTTGTCGTGGTGAACAATGTCTCTTTTTGTCTCGAGAGTCCCCATTCACATCTGCTTGTATGTGTTTCAGTTGGCAAAGCGTGTGTATAAAGGCATCCCTCTGCAGCTGAGAGGCCAGGCCTGGGCCTTGCTTCTGGACATAGAGAAAGTCAAAAAGGAGAACGACGGAAAATATGAGGTCTGAATTTATTAAGTGATGACAATTCCTCTAAAATGCAGATTCTGTGAAAGGATAAATTCTGACATTCACCGAGCTTTAATGACATTTTGTCCCTTTTTTTGTCCTTCAGAGAATGAAGCAGCAGGCTCGTAACTTTTCCACAGAGATCAAACAGATTGACTTAGACGTCAACAGAACCTTCAGGAACCATATCATGTTCAGGGACCGCTTTGGAGTCATGTGAGTTTGCAGCTTCACTCAACAAAAAGCTGCGTGAAACAGCTTGTGTTTTGATTTATCAAGTGACATCAGAAACCCCATCCTATCCAGAGAGTTTATCTGAGTGAACAAACCGCTAATGTTGCTGTGGATCATATGACTACTCCTCTGACCTTAAGCCTGTAAAGTGAGTGACAGTTTAAGTAGCTTTCATAACAAATGTCTTCATCCAAGTGTCTCCAAAGTGCGTGTTTTTATTTTCTTTGTCACCTCACATGCTCAGGTTTGCCCTCGCTAAGTCTCTGCAGAGTGTGACCTCTGGCTCAAACCTTGAGGCAGCCCCACACACACACACACATGCACACACACAAAACCAAAGCAGTGGTTTCCTCCTCTGTGTTTTATTAGCCTTCCTGTCAGTGCACAGAGCCCCACAGGAAATGCCATTCATACAGAAATGTGCACCGACATCAAGTGTACATCTGCAGAACAACACTGTCCCTATCGATATATTGTTAATACATTCAAAAAGCAGATTAAACATATGTTTAAATGAGCTTCACAACATGATTTTGGGAGAGCTGTGTGTGTGTTTGAACATCTGATAGCTGCTGGTTTATATTTGTCAGTTTAACGCTGACAGAGTGCGACCAAGCACTCTTCTCTCGCTCTTTGTAACGTACTTCCCCCCTCAATTCAAAGCCACCGAGTCCAAACAGACCAAAACACCGCTCCATCCTGCTTGGCTGCCCACTCCTTCCCTGCAGGTCAACAGCTGTCTCACTCACACGGAGACACTGACAGCTATTTAAAGCTCATTTTCCTGTCTCTGTCTATAAGACAGGCATTTACTATAGAGGCCTGGAGGGGAGACATCCTCTCTTGTTGACATTATATTAGTTAATGCCACTTCTCTGCTCAAATACACATTCACACACACATGCACAATAGCTGCCTTGTGTTCACTGTCTGAAAGTTGAGACTCCAGATGTAATCAGCCTCGCAGCACGTAACCATGTGGTTATAGAAACTGGACAGAAGCTGCGTGATTTGGGCGAAATTATGTGATGAAATTCTTCTACCTTATTAACCCCTAAACAAAATAAATTTAGAAAAATTAGATTTTTTTTATGTCACCCTGGCTCTGATAGGTCACAGAGGTCCTTTCAGAAACACCCTTCATAATAACTTAAAACACAGCTCAATAGCTTAAGCATAGGACCGAGACTATACACACATGCACATACACAAAAATTTTACAAACACTGTTGGGATAATATGATGCAACCAGGGTTTGTTAGCCTCAGCAGAAATATTACAGCTGTCTGTGCTGATTAATGGAGTTAATTTAGGGAAGAGGTGGTGAAGAAATCATTACTCATGTGCCCTCAGGGAATTAACATGGAATAAATTAAATCACTATTCTCCGAAACACTGTTCCAGCTTGCTCGATTGTTGCCAAGGAACCACATCCTCATTTTAACTGGTGGTTTCTCTGTTCCCTCTCTAGGCAGCAGGCGCTGTTTCACGTACTAGCAGCTTACTCAGTCTACAACACGGTAAGTGTGTGTGCGCGTAGATGCGTGTATACTGAGGTGTGTGTTACATAATATCGAAGAGTCCTGTGTACACTGGCTGCGTCACAAAAGCAGCATGTCAGTGGCGTAACAGTCCACAGAGTGTGTTGGTTTCCATACAGCAAAGAACAGGCCGAGCACTCTAAACCCATCTGTTCTCATTCTCGTTTGGAGCCCTGGGTGAGATCTTTTATTTATGAGTGTGGTGCTGCCTGAATGTACAGCAACAAAGTGTAGCAGTCCGACCACCAGCGAACCCACATCCATACTCAGCACTCACGTTGTTAGACTAAGTTCACCCTCAGACACTGCGAGTCGTTTAACGGGCAAAGAAAATGAGCAAATGAGCCTTGTTTTGTTGATTTACTGCCAGAAAAATTACAAACATAAGATTTTGTTCCTTGAGTAGTAATTTCTGCTGACAGCCCACCAGAAAAGTTTCATCGCTTTTGTTTTAATTAACGACATTCATTTGCAGTCTAAACAGTTTTTGCTTTGTAATAATGTGTTTGAATTGCAGTTGTGGATACTGAGGTTAGACATAATGATGATTCCACGCATCTACTTTAAAGTGCTGTCTGTACTTTCTCCACTACATGTCAGAGTTTGTCTCAGTGGGGTGAAATCTGGCTTTTACAACTAAGCACATATTTATGAAAATACAGTAAATGTGTATATGTAGCCTGTATCTCAAAATATGTGGATTAATCTGTATATATTAATTCCTGTATAAGCACAGATTGCTGCCGTCTGGTAGGGACAGAAATATTGCCATCCAAAGATAGCTTCATGTACAGTACATTACATCTCCCACACACGAACCCCGTCCAAGTCTGTTTTTCAGATTGGGCTCTGTAGTTTGTTCCTCTGTAGTAGAGGTGTTTGAGCCAGAGGAAATGGGCATGTGCTGTTCCCGTTTTCCTTTTCCCCTCTTCTCACACGCTGCTGAGAAGAAATTGGGTCAGTAGGAGAGAGAGCGGGAGAGAAAGAGGGGGTTTGTGTGCGTGTCCTTTCGCTTATGTGATGATAGGGAAGAATGTGGAGAATGTGTAGTTTAACCTCTGTGGTAACCCTGATTATATTTACTGTATTTCCTTGAAAGGATACGTTGGAGTGTCCATATTTGGCTGAACAATAAATCGGCCTTAATATGGACAAATACCAAGTGTGTGCCTGGTTTTGTGTATCTGCGCTTGCCAAGGGCGATGGGTTTAGTGTAAATCATTGAATCATTAAGGAGTCAGATTGGCAGTAATTCAAGCTGAAGACATGACATTACTGAGAATGTACGTTGGGCTCGAGTAAATATTTGAACAGCCTTTGGTAAAAGTGTTTATAATATCTTAGCTGCACGTACAGTAGGTCCTCGTGTGCAGCATAACCACACACATCCTCAGTCTGGCTTCAGACCACATCAGACATTCAGGTGCTCTCGTGTCTCGGCCTGTGTGTGTGTGCGCACACTATTAAATTATGAATAATTCCTCTCATTTGCCCATTCTGTTTAATTGAACCTGTCTGTGCTACTGTGGTTCCCCCAGGAGGTGAGCTACTGCCAGGGGATGAGTCAGATCGCTGCCATCTTGCTCATGTACCTGAATGAGGAAGATGCCTTCTGGGCTCTGTCCCAGCTCCTCAACAACAGCAAGCATGCCATGCACGGTGAGAATGAGGAAGAAATGAAAACAGAAAGAAAAAAAAACGCAGAGCTGATTAATGTTGAGACGTCAAATATCGTCATATGTTCCTAGGAAAAGGATGAAAATGTGTGTTGTAAAATTGCACTTGAGTCTGTGCGTGTACACTCAGATTTGTCTGATGTGTGCTGGAATCTGTGAGTGCATACTCATATTTGTGAATGTGTATCCCAATCTCTTCATGTACATAAGATTATATGAGACATCTATAAAAATCTGAAAATGATATACTCAAAAACTGGAAATCAGAAGTAAGAAATGACCTTTATTGATGAGTGACCCATCTTAGCGTTAAGCTTCAAGAGCTGGAAAACAAAAATGCTCAATTCTGTTTAATGTATGTCTCTCAATTTCATGTTTAACAGGTCTCCACCACAATTTCATATATTATTGCTATAACATTAGCCCCATATAAATGGTGTATAGATTTATTTATTACTTATATACAACCTTAATGTTAGTGGAAGCAAATTCACCACATTTTCCAAATGATTCAAGGACACTACAGAGTTTTGTCATGTTTTCTTAGTGCCCTTGATGAAGTCCTTTAAAGGAGTATTACACCCACAAAGTGACCATTTGTATATCAGTTACTTACCCTATGTTCCATTGAATTTGTCAAGAAAACTTTGTTTTTATCGCATGCCTCAACAGTAAACGAAGAATCCAAAAACTGAGGAAATTCTTGATGAATAGAGGTCATAGGGGTCCACAATTAACAACAGCAAAATCTATACCAAAACATCTACGTACAAACTCACAACTCATGCAGTATAATCCAAGTCTCATTTATCCAGTTGCATGCTCAGGACTTCCCAAACACATGCATTTTTGCTAAACCTTACTATTTATTTGCATAAGGAGTCTCCTGTATGGACAAGCAGTGGGCCTGGGCAACGCAATGGAATGCTCTTACAAAATCTGAATATACATATTTGCCCATGCGCACTGCTCTTATGTGGAAGTGTTATAAATAATTTTGCTTTTGTTAAACATGGTCCCCCTTGAGTTCAGTTCATCAAGAATTTTCTCAGTTTTTGGATTCTTCATTCAAAGTGGAGGCATGCGAGAAAAAAAAAGTTTTCATCATGAATTCAGCGGGTGAGTAATTGTTATACAAATGGTCACATTGTGGGTGAAGTTTTTCCTTTAAGACAGGAAATACTTTTTCCTTTGTAAATGTTATGTCTCTACTGTTACCACACACCATTTATGGCCTGCTGATTTATTTTCTCTCACTGTGCTAGGGTTTTTCATCCCGGGATTTCCCAAGCTGCAGCGTTTCCAGGCCCACCATGAGCTGATCCTCTCCAAAATGCTGCCAAGGCTGAAGAAACACCTGGTAGGTTAAAGTACATCAGTATGACCGATGCTTTCTGTCCATGCAAGAGACACAGGGCAAATTGATTGCTCAGAAGGTCACGCACTACAGTCGATTTATTCGAGCTGTTTCTCAGTGTTTAATTAATTAATATTGCAAAAGGACAAATTTTAGGAATGTTACTGCCAATCCAGGAGTCATATGGAAAGTGAGATTTATAATCGAAAAAAACGATTATGAGGAGTGACTTCCCATAGAGACTATTCCTCATTAATTCTTCTTAATGCTTCCACAGGACAAGGAGCAGATGACAACAGGGATTTACACCACCAAATGGTTTCTGCAGTGCTTCATTGACAGAGTGAGTGTTTGGATTTCCCAAAGATCACAAACTGCATGAGTGCTCCTCCCTGTTTATATCCAGTCTGAGACATATCCTACATTTGAACACATTAATCAGTATATCATTGTGCGTTCTGTTGCTTTTGCTTTTAAACATGAACCCACATCTGGGGTTTTATTATTATTTAATCTGCTGCTATGTGTCTTACATAACAGACCCCTTTTACCCTCACCCTGCGTCTATGGGACATCTACATACTGGAGGGAGAGAAGATGCTAACTGCTATGGCTTATACAACCCTCAAGTTACACAAGAGTGAGTATGAGGATGATTATATTATCTCCCATGTCGTGCAGTGCTGAACAGGTCCAACCAGTTTCATGCCCAGATACAGCCACGGCTACTGTTGCTATACCAGGGAGTGTTACGTCGCACGCTGCCTCTCGCTTGGCTGCCTCCTAACCGGATGGCTTACATAATGCCAGTGGGTGGTTGCTGTGGAAAAGAATCGAAAGCTGACTTTTCATTGGACGCCTGCACCAGCATCGCCTCAGCGCGGAGTTCTTGTACAACATCTCTTTTGACAGGCCACTTCTTTACTTAGTGTCTAAAGTTAGGCCGAGCACTTCATGGTTCATATCACAGAGGTTACATGACATGAAAGCCTCATAGATTACTGTCACCCATTCTGTGAGGTAACTTTTTTGTCCCTATTGTGTGTGTCCAATCAGAGCGCTTGCAGAAGCTCCCGTTAGAGGACCTGAGGGAGTTTCTCCAGGAGCAGACGGCTGTTTCTTTTTTCCTGCCTGATGATGTGGTGATTGAACAGTTACAGGCTGCGATGTCTGAGCTTCGTGGTAAAAAGCTGGACCAACCTCCCCCAGGTGCAGTTGTGTTCTTTTAGTTATTTTTCAGTATTAAGCTACATTGAGCTCCGAAAGTATTTTTTTTTCCTGTCTTGATGTATTCCCTATGTTCCATTTCCTTTTTTAGCCAAGTCAGAGGAGCTGCCAAAGAAACCTCTGGGTCAAGAGAGACCAGTTCTCATTCTGCCTCTGCAGCCTGACTCTCCTCTGGAGGTCAAAATAAATCTGCAGCCCAACAGTCAACCCAATACAGAGGCCCAGCAGACAGTGGGAATCGCCCTACAGCAGACCCCTTCTCCTGCAGACCTTCAGGACTCGAGAACACCCCCTCTGCCTTCACCTGACCCAGTTGTAGTCTGCACAGAAAGAACACCTTCTCCTTTAAGGCCGTGTAGAGCACCTCCGTTACCTCCAAAAGCAGACAAATCACGTGCTGAGGTCAGGTTGGATGGAGATGTGAGGGAATTGCCTCCAGAGGTTACCCAGACCGACAATGTGGGAAAACAGGAGAGCCAGCCTGAAGACCCAGATACTGAGGACGAGCCTGTGGATTGGCCTCCTCCCTATGAGCCCCCTGCTTTGGATGCTCTTGCCATGCAGACTGAGGAGGAGATTATGGACCTTCCAGACCTGCCACCTCCACCTTTCTTTGACACTGAGCAGAATGACCAAGGGCCTCAGGACAGTAATTCACCCCGCCTGGGGGTTGGCCGGGACATCCAGCGGCGCTCTCCTTCCCCCCGCTCAGCCTCACCACTGGTCCCACAAATGAAGCTATCTCCGAAACCATGTCCAAAACCACCCACGTCACTTGACCTCACACAGAAAAAACCTCTTCCCTTAAAGCCTTCCTCTGCCCGTGCCTTCACCAACACCTCCTCCTCCTCTCCCAGACTTCCTCCAAAGCCGACCAAGTTCCCAGTCTCTCTCTACGTCCCCGTGCCCGCGGGTGACCGACGACCATCCAACACCTCCCAGTATGACAACCTTTCCGAGGCCGATGAAGACGACCGCTACCTGGAGAGGCTGCTGGGCTCCACGCCCGAGGAAATTCCCCCTCATACCATTAACAGAGACTATGACCCTGCTCTCTTCCCTCTGCCGCCACCTCCTCTGTACATCCCTCCTTCGCCTTCTCTTACTCCCCCCTCGCTGTGCGCTCTCCCCAGTTTGCCTCAGGAGCCAGAATACCAAGGGGAAGACAGCTGGGTGGAGGACTCCATCATCCCCCCTCCTCCAGCTAGTTTTGCTGACAGACTCAGTCCCTACCAGTGTAGCGCTGCCAGCCTTTCAGACACACACAGAGCCACCTCGCCCAGTTACTCTAAGCCGTTCTCTCGGGGCCCCAGGGACCATTCTGCTTTTCCAGCACCACTGTTGTACACCGGGTCTCCCCCAGGCAACTCAAAGCCCTCAGGACAGTCAGCAGTAGGGGTTCCCATGATCCGATCCAGCCCAGACTTTTGCAGGATGCCTCCAGGTGAACAGCAACTGCCCAAATCAGTGACCTTTTGAAGTTTCACACTGTCATCGAAGCGTCACTGATTATGCCAAGACGATTCGGACTCTCTGTCAATGCTTGATCAGTGTCAAAGCCATTTAAGAGGTGAAAGGCCAGTAGCTATTCAGTGTGTCAAAGGTTTGTGTGTGAATGTGTGTGAAAGGACTTTTTTCATTGATGTGTACAGATTTATGTGATATTTGCACCTTTTTTGTAAGGGCAGTTAACTTTTTTAAGTGTCAAACTTGTATTTAAAACTGCTGTCTGTGTTACTGTTTGCTGCACAAAACGTGAGTGTTAACCCGCCTGCTCTTGTTCGTGTGCGAGACCCGATTTGGTCTTCAGTTCAGTGGGTGGTAAAGGAGAAATTTACACAGAAATAAGGTGATCTGATACCAGCTGAGTGTTCCGCTGTTGCTTCATCGCCAGTCAGTTCCATTTTGTTCCAACAAAAGTGTCTTAACCTGATCGCAGTGCACTGAGACGAGCAACCCTTAACACAAAGGGCTTTCGAGGCTGCAGAGTGATGTCATCTTTGCTAAAGCACCCAAAGCCTATACATTTATACTGTATTTATGGTCAACTGTGAGCAGGCTCACACATCTTAACAGTATGTCAAACTGTAACGAGTATCTAACAATTTCTTTACTGGTCAATACTTGATAACAAAGGACCACTGAACCAGGTTGCGCCAAAGCAGTTTGCATGCACACTTTTTTTTAAAAAAAAGTTGTAACACCATCAACAGGGAAGACATGGTGCAATACGTCACTGATGGAAATACGGAAGCTTGTTTCATTTACATGAAGCCCGGTCAGGTTTTTCCCAGGCAGGCAGTCGTGGGTACTCTGTGGGTACTTTGCTGCTTTTTTATGTTTTAAACTGACTCGTAATGATGATCAGTTTCATAGAAATAGTTATAGTGCTATATCTGTTTGTCTGACACATGGGTTCACAGCGATAACGTACTGTTTCATGTATATATACATGCATGTATCAAGGCTAAACGGGAAGGTTTTATTGAATGCAACTTATTGTCAGCACTGACAGATACAGTAAAAATCCTCGTCACAATATTTATGAAGAGTAGCTCCATCTAGTGGCCACAATGTGTCATTGACAGTAGCTGGCTTCAAGCTAAAAAATGAAGTCCTTGCATTAAGCACACATATCCAGTAACCATGACATAAATGCTACCTATCATGCTTATTTATGAATGTGCACACATTAATACAAGGACAGATTCCTTAAGACACTGTTCTCTACTGCCACGGACCAGGGAGAAAAGAAGATGAAGCAAAGCTGAATCTATATTTTAGAGCCATTGTAAAGACTGTTGTCAATGTATTTTAATTGCTCTGAGCAAAAGAGAAATGGAAGTTGAGCCATAACATACTGTACAAGGACCTAATAGTCAAACATGTTTATATTGTTCATGCAGTTACATATTATGTTTATATACTACGTCTAAACATCAGTTTGTTTTTTGCACTGACCTTTGTTATTACCGAGAGGTTTTGCAATTCTCTTTAAGTATTCAGATTTGTAACAGAGTTCCAGGTTACTGCTAAAAATGTTCCTCTTAGGAAGCGATGTTAACAGATGTTGTGTTCATGAACTTTGGTCTTGCTGCTGTGATGCGTCCCCAACAACTTGGATCGGGGCCTGCACACAAGTATATTTGGCTCGCGGGAGTATTCTTTAGTCACCTGACCCGACCACCAACTGTACATCACTGCTCCTTTTATATGAATCTGGTTGACATCAGTGATGCTGTGGCTCAGACCAAAGCTTATGTACATTTATGCAACTACTTATTTGAGTTTTATAAAGAGATAAACCTTAGCTGCCTGTTGTCTTCTCTTTCCCACAGAGACGATCCACATCTGGTTCGAGATATTTATTGCACACCCACAAAATCGTGTCCTCTTACTGTACATATTTTAGGTTCTTGCTTTGCAATGTGTTTTACACACAGTAAACAATTGTAAGAGCAAAGGCTGTTTAAATATAAAGGCATCTCAAAAGCTTATTGCATTAAATATGGAAACAGCACTGATACGGCGAATAAGGCCATTAAAATATACGAGCCGTACCTCATCAATGAGGCACATTATTAATATACAAGGCTCACTCTTCATCTGCCAACACCCTGATTGTCTCCCAGAGGACTGTGTCAGGGACGGGTTAGTAAAAAAATAAGGTGAAATACATGATCTTTGGTAAAAGTAGTCGAAGCCAAATTCAGCTTTCTGACAAAAATATATACTGGACAAAAATTTAAATCCAACACTTTTGTTTTTGCTCCCATTTTTCACAGGTTTAAGTTAGAGATCTAAGACTTATTTCATGTACTCTCTCAAATTTTGGTCACAAATTTGTTACGATACATCTAACCTAGTGTAGGGATGGTTACAATAAAAGGCCACACTAAAATGTGCAGTTTTATATCACAACACGATGCTATAGATGACCCAGGGAGCGTACCGTTGTCACGCTGACTGCAGCAATGTCCACCACAGCTGTTGCCTGTGAACTGAATGTTCATGTCGCTACAATGAGCTGTCTGAGTAAATTTAGCAGAACATCCAACCAGCCTCACAACCGCAGACCACATGTAGCCACATGCAGCATCTTCCCCTGCAAGATTGCCAGAGACCAGCCACTCGAACAGCTGCTGCAAAATTTGCTTCATCATTTGCACAACCAAAGATTCTATGCGCAAACGGACAGAAACTGTCTCAGGGAGGCTCATCACCATGGCTTGACCGCAATTCGTCATCATAACCAACTTGTGAGGCTGGTTGGATGTACTGCCAAATTCAGGGAAGTGACATTGGAGACGGCTTATGGTAGTGAAATGAGGCACATGTGTCTTGATATGCCACACTCATTTTGGTGGATATATTATCTTGGATTTTAACACATTTGTGACCAAATTAGAGAGAAATATATCTACTGAGTGCACGAAAAAAGTCTGAAGATCTTGAACTTCAACCTGTGCAAAACGGGAGCAAAAACAAAACTGCTGTTTCAGCATTTTTGCTCATTGTAGATACATTCCTACGACATTCTTTAGATGCTTTTGCATAGAATTCCATGCCTTTCTAAAAATATAACACAGTGCATTCATGTAACATGTTCCAGGTTGCAAAGTTTGTATGAGACAAAAAGAGTAACTGATACATTCAAATACAAAATGCAATCTGTACACTGATACGTACCCACATTTTTAGTGTCCAATGAAAATACAGAAACAAATCTTTTGATTAAACCATACATATTTAAGACAAGAAGGCAATTTTGATCATAACTTCAACACTCCAGTGTTAATAGCTGACTAAAACTGCATTTAACTTCAGCACAGTTACAGTCCAGCTGTTGATAGCTGCTGCTGCTGCTGCTATCTCCCAAACTGCTCGGTTAAACCACAACTTCGACTACAATCATATTCTTCATATCCTGAGCTGACTCATGAGGTTAGAGAGGGAAGTCACACTTTCCCTCAGTTTGGAGTCTTCCTCCTCTCCCAGCGACACTCCAGCCAAGCGAGTGGAACCGTTTGAGCCCATCATGCACGGCAAGCTGAGGAACACCTCTGCTCCTATGCCACCCCAGCCCTAAAGCAAAGAGAATGCGACATCATCTATAATCAAATTTCAATTAAAAACATCCTTTAAATAACATCTGACACATTCAAGCACTGATGCTACTGACTTTGTACACTCAGGGAAATGACTGAAGTGAAACAGAACATGCAACACATGATGACAGTGAGGCTGACAGACTCAGATATGAGACTCTTGGTGGTTCTACCTGAGCCAGCGTAGAAACGGAGTGGGTCTTCTTCTGATCTGTCAGGATGCTGTTTGTGATGTCAGCGATGGACAGACCAACAGACCACGACCGCTGACCGCGATTCTTCATCATATCAAGCGCTCTACAAGCACAGAAACAGTTGTACTTTTTTTAAACTTAAAATTTTGATGCAAAAACAATCAGAAATTGATGAAGCGTGATCAAGGAGAGGGACCTGCTACCTCTTCTAATCCCACAAATTCTAAATTTCCTTCAATTGTGTCCACAATTCCAGATTCTACAAATTCTAAATCCTTCCCTTGAGGTTATACCTATTCACGCCATTACCTGTCTAACAATGGTTTGGTAACGTTGGGTGTTGCTGCGATCTCTGTCCTCACACTGGAGCTCAGCCCGACATTACTCATCACAGCAACTGCAACACAGCAACAGTGACAAGCTCAATCGTGTGCTTCATTTATTAAAGGGCCTGAAGTCTCAAGAATCCAAAGAATGTTTAATAGAAAACACTAAAAAAGGCAGATGATCCAAATAATGACCACGAATGAAAAGAGAAGAAGTGAGAGGGGAATGATGAAGACAGATTAAATCAACACAAAGTCTTCATGTAACTATTAAAGTGATCTCTTCTGGCTCACCTTTGTTGTCTGAAAATTCTCCAATGATCCAGGCTGGTTTGTGAGTGTTCAGGTTAATATTCAAGATCTGACTAAGTCGCTCTGAGTCCAGATTACACCCTGCTCCAATCACCTGCGTCGGAGGCAGGCAGCTCTGCCTCCAGGCGACATGTGTCATGATATCCACTGGAAGTGAAAAGACAAATAGAGTTAACGACAAAAAAGTTAATGAGCAAAATGGTCCATTTCTCAGAGCGAGTGTTTTCTCCGTCACCAACCTGGCTGTGAAGCGATGAGCATTATTGCATTAGGGCTGAGGCGTGCCAGATTTGGGATGATTTTTTTGAACAAGTCCACATTAGTCTGAACCACGCTCACGTACGACTGCTCGCCGCTCCATGCATTCGCAGTCACCACGACAACCCTGGAGCCAGCAGAGGCTGAAAAATCTACCAAAGGAGAGTCATCAGTAGTTATTCCTGCACATGTCTCAGAGCAAACATTAAAGCATTGTCAGTTCTAGCAACAAACACTGTGTTAACTCTCCATTAATCACAGATGGATACATTGTGTTCTGTTATCCCTCCGACAGGTCAAAGTTCAGGGTCAGCTACAGCACAGCAGCTGGTTGGGATTAGGTGAATGCTTGCTGTCATAGAGGTGAGTCATGACAGAGAGTCTCCCTAAACACAATGCCGGTATGCTCCCTTAGAAACAGCCTGACATTAGCGATGACTCAGCTGAGGCACTTCAAACAGAACTGTGTGACAGTGCAGAAAGTGTCTTACCTCTGGACACCTCAACCTTGGGCAGACTGAAAATCTCTAGATCAGTGCTGCCGCCCTTGGTGGAACTCTCAGCGACGTCAATGAAAACAAGTTTGTCCACTTTACACTGAATGAAAATTAGAACAAAACAAAGATTCACTGTCAGCATTGGAATTTGACATTTTAATCCACAAAGAATACAATATAAAATATTAATTAAAATCCCTGATATATATATATATATCACCTTTGATAAAATGCTCATCACTGACGCCATTCCTAAATCTCCACCCCCAATAACTGAGACTTTGCCAACTGGTCGATTTTGTCTGCCTCCACCTGAAACAGACATGAGGTAAGCAAACAACAACAACAGCACACAATTATCTGATCATTAATCATCAACAGCAAAGCTGCACACCAACCATCGAGCTGTAGATTTGAAACCATCGTCAGGAGCTCATGGGGGTCTTTGTGCTCCGCTGTGGTCTTTGTGGACAGTGGGGGATCCTCCTCAAACTTGGCAATCATCTCTTTCAGAAGACCCACCACGGTTGATGTGGGCTGTTACAGAGCAAAAAAAAAAAGATAACACACCTAGGAACACTTCAACCTCTTTTGTGCAATTTTAAATTCACCCACAAACTATAAAACCTTACATAATTCCAGTTGTGCAGGCCCGGCAGGTGGATCCGTCCTGTTCCGTCGACATGCTTGCCCTCTCTGATGACCATGCTCGAGGTTGGTCTCAGGAGGCATATGGGAGGCGAGATGGGGAATGAGTCCAGCAGCCACAGCTGAATGGGGAAGTTGTAGGTCCGGCCTTAAGATAGAAACACTGGCATCAGCACGAAAACAATGACTTCACACTGACATGATAAGTCAATTTCTTTGGACATTTCTAGTGTTAGAGGTCAGCCTTACCTCCATACTGGACAGGGACGTTACCAACTAATTTCAGGAGATCTTTTTGGGTGTTGTCAGTGAATGCTGAAATTGACAACAGGAGCAGTCAGTTTTCAGCAAAGAAATATCTGTGATGTATGCGGAGGGCAACAAAAGATGAGTGAATAAATACTCACTGTATGTGCCTGTGGATGGTATGATGTCAGGGTAGATTCGATTGAGTTTCTGCAGCTCCTCAACAGCAACATCGTGGAATTTGTACTAATATCCAGGACAGAAAGACAGACTTAAAGCATTTATATACAGTATATGAATATTTCCATACTTTTATTCACTGTCAGGATGGTTATGTTTGCAGTTGTTGCTTGTGTGAACACAGGAGGTGGGAAAATCTACAGATTTAGCCCACCCATTTCCAACTGTTATAAACCCTTTCTATTGCTATTAATGTTTTTTGTAGACTTCAACATTAAAATTAGGATTCACCAGTTAATCAAGGCTCAGTAATGTCATACAAACACACTCTTGAGAAGTTCAGTCAAGCATTCAGGATTTTATTATGCTGCTTGCCATCACACAAATGAGCTGTATTCAACACTGGTCACTAACATTCACCAGCAACACTGGAATACATGTTTGTTTTGGCTACTTTATCAGCACATAGTATGACAAAGGGCAACAGATTAGCTTTCAGTTGTAACCCATGGGTGTTTGGACAATTATGTAAATTCCTTTAGCAATAACATAACGCAGCACTGAGGGGTCAAACAGCCCATGGCAGTGATTTTACATTTATCATGGCTCTCTATCATTAGCTTGTTTTGTAAAAATGCTAGCTAGCACTTCGTTTTCGTCTTTCACTATGTCATATTTCTGTGTTATTCCTCCGGGACATGGCAAGTAACAGAGCTGGTTCTGCCAGTTGGTGAAGCCCGACAGTAGCTTTAGCTAACTAGCCTGCTATGCTAACCGGCACTGATACGTAAACAGCTTTAAGTTTAACCATTTCCATAACTGTTCGTTTATTAAATAACTGACCTTGGAGAGTATCCGCTGTATTTTCTCTGAACGTAGGTCCATCTATTGAAGTACAACCACAAAAATCACGTGTTTCGGTTCTTTCCCCTCTTGTCGGCTGACTTCCACTTTGGCTGCTGAGTAAACTTCCGCAAACTTTCAGGAGTAGCTAAGCGCAACGACAGAAACTCCCACTTGATACGTCATTACGGCAAGCCAGGAAGGAAGAAAAAGGCCTTAACGCTGCTTGTTGCTGTTCATACTGTCAGTTTACGGCTACATACAGTCATTTAACATAATTAACAACTTTAAAAAAAAACATAACACACAATATATAGCGAAAGAATAATAACTGACTAAAATTCATACCATTTTTATGATATTTGTACTAGTGATAGTACCCAAGTCATGTATATATTACTAAGATTGTCATACTCTGAGAAAACTGACATAAAACTACACAATTAAACGCTTCAATAAATCATTTCTGTAATTCCCTTTAAGAGAAACACACAGCACATCAAGTGGTAATGTTTTCTGCATACGTAACCGCCTTTACAATCAGTTTGTTTGGAAAAATATGCAACAACTTCTGCTGAAAAATAGCATTTTATCAACACATGACATTATATGTCTTTGTCTAAAAAAAAAAAATCACTCTTTCATATTAATAGTTCTCTTTGAAGCTCAGATGCTCTTAAGAAATAGGGGCTGTTGACAGTGTAAACCCTGCACTTGGTGGGGGAAATAAATAATATAACAGGGAAAGTGTGAGATTTTTTTGTCAACTAATGCCTGAATGATTTGTGCATATTTGTCTTTGACTTTTTCAGGTTGTCTTGAACCGACACTCTTCTCCTCTCCTCTGAAGCCATCGTCATTAGTCACTCCACTCAGTTTTTGTCCGAACATAAGGAGAGAAGCAGAGAGACAGCAACAGAGGCCAAGGTGGACACAGTCACTTGGTTTCAGGTGTTAAGGATGGCCGACCCTCTGTCTCCACCTTTCAGGAGACAGTTTCTTTTATTCATCTTAACCACAAAGTTCTTTTCAGTTCTTCTTTTTCCTCTTGACATTTCTCCTTTTCAGCTCCTCTTCTTCTCTTTTCTCCTCCTCCAGATCTTCCTGCACAGCCATTCTCAAGCTAAAGTAGCAAAGAGAAGAAATAACATTATGTAAATTATGATATTACACATTATGACACACGTATGTGAGGTTTATGTTCATCGTACCTCCTGGCCTCCTCCTTCTGCATATCCTTCCAGCTGCTCTCCATGAATTTAAGTGCATAGTCACTTTCATCTTTGTATCTGAGGAGGTTAAAAGCAAAAAACAGTCTGTTCATACAGAATTCACAATACATTAAAATGGACCTGTAACCACAATGTATGACAACAACACTTACTTGTTTCGATCGTAACCGAAGATTTCCCTTATGTGCCTGGAAATGTCATCTGGCTCATCACCTCCGTCATCAATAAAATCGTCCATTTCTGGGTCATACTCTTCTTCCTCATCCTCGTATTTCCTCTTGTATGCCGAAGTGATAGGTGGTAACATCGGACCTGGATGATAAATACAGAAATGACTGTCAATGTGGGTATTGCCTTCTCTGAATGTTAAGACTGGCAAGCTTGTGATTTGAGAATTATTGAGTTTACAAAATTCAGTTTCATGGTACAAGGTTGATGACAAATTATGTTTTGTTTATCCATGTTAAAAAGATAGCCGCTCTCTGACCCACGAATAACGACAAAGGCTGCTGAGTGTTGCTGACACACTTCATTCGTTTAGGCAAACAAACCCTTTGCCCTGTAATACTGACTGTGTTGTTTCAGGCTGTTTGCAAAATCTCAGAGGCTGTTTGTTTTAATATATTATATTTACAACAAGATTTCATGCATTGTTTGACGATGTTCATTGTAATGTGCTGCTGATAGGGGTATCTGTTATGAGCTGCAATGAAGTGCTTAATGTCTCCTTTATTGTGTTCATAATACTGTACTATAAAATTGGTACAGTGCACTATGTGTAGGCTGTGAATACATACAGGAAAACATTATTGGCACACAATATTAATGCAATCATTAAATTCAAATTATTTAATTTAACAAACAGTTAACTCGTTTGTTTTGCTGCAGAGAGACAATAGACCATGTTGCTATGGGACAAAGCAGAGCATACAGTGAAGGTGATATTATCTGATAGTATCAAGTGATTTCCATAAAACAAAACGTTGCTCTGCCCAAAAAACAAGCTTGAGCAAGACCCTAAACTCATGTGCTCTCTTTTATGTTGCTCTGGTTAAAAGTAGGGCTGGGCGATATGACAAAATTTTCATATCACGGTTTTAAGAAAAAATCATATCGGTTTCACGGTATTTCACGGTATTTTGCTCAGGTTCGGCCAACTTGACATGCTGCTGTGTTGTGCTATGGCCTATTCAAGTGCCGGGATTTGTTATTTACCTGACAACGCCTGAACTCAACACGTGCTCCGCTCCATTAGTGCTGTGCTCGGTTATAACTGTCTCGGACTCGGAACAGGTCGTCTTCAGTCAGGAAAAACGCGGCCCGAGCCGTACTCTAGTGTGCTCACCTGTGTGTGCGCGCTTTGTCTGTGTGCGTGGGTGTGTGCGCATCTGGTCGAAACTCCGCCGTGCGCAATACAGAGGGCAGAGGAGAATTGTAAACGTCGGTGCGCCGCTGTTAGTTGCATATAGGGGAAACACTGCTCTTTTTGGTATGAGTTCTTCTGGGTCATTGTGTACAGTTGCTTCACTTTCAGGACTCTATCCGGCAGCCATTCTTGCCTCTAAACGTTTCTATATGCTCTCACTCTCGCCTGCTCAAGTGCGCCTGTGGTGTGCAGCGGTGAAATGGGTCCCCGCTGAAAAACTTTCCCGCCGCGCACGTTCCTGATGTTGTTTGGGCTATTCACCGGTATGGCGGTATATGAAAAATTCATATCATAACGAAAATAAACAGCGGTTTTCGGTACGAACCGGTATATCGCCCAGCCCTAGTTAAAAGCATGAACCAAATACCCAGGTAGAGAAGGGCTTACTTTGCTCTTACCTGACCTACTGCACTGCTTTGATTTTAACCTGTTTGGTAAGGCACATTTGCCTAAGTCAGTCTCTGTCTCTATTTCACTTGTATCCTTAGTGCATTAACCTTTATGTTATTTTAGTTTCAGCAATATTTCTGTTAATGTCCAGCTGTTTCCTCATTGGTAGTAATTTCTTTGCAAACTTTGGCACATTGTAAAACTGAACTGACAGTTATAACCCTGAAATGTTAACTCAAAGGCAACAAATAACAATTCCAGTTTGTTGGTAATATGATACCATTATGCTCTCTCTTTCTTACCTGGTGGTCTGTTCATCATAGGTCTCTGTGGCATTCCCGGTCTGGGTGGCATTCCCGGCCTAGGTGGCATTCCCAGTCTGGGTGGCATCCCAGGTCTCTGTGGCATTCCAGGTCTCTGTGGCATGCCTGGCCGAGGAGGGGCTCCTGGTCTGGGTCCACCAAAATTCTTGGATGAAATGGTCTCTGACACCACAGTGCACTTGGGTCTTCCAGGTCCTGATCCAATGCTGCCAGTCGGTCGTCCAGGCACTGGTCCTCCACCACCAGGCCGACCAGGTCCGCTCCCAGGAGGTCGGGATCCACCACCTTTGGGTTGACCCTGTAGGCCACTCCCGCCAGGCCTGGCCTGAGGGACACCACCAGTTTTTGCCTGGAGTGTGCCTCCAGGCCGTGACTGAGGATGACTACCTGCCTTAGGAGGGATGCCTGATGAAGGTCTCATCATCGAATTACCACTTGGCTTTAGAGCAGTATTCATACCAGGTCTTAGTGGTTCTCCCTTTCCAGACTTGTGGCCTCCAACTATAGGTCCCTGCTTTAATGAGCTACCCTGACTGGGCCTGGTCTGTTGGGAGCTTCCATGTTGAGATCTTTGGCCTGTTACAGCTGTACCAGGGGTCTTGGTCCCAGGAATACCCGAGGCTCTTGATAAGCTTTCTTTTTTATGGATAAGGTCACTTGAGGTGCTGGGTTTGTGGCTGGATGAGGGCCTGGGGCCCCCTTGTTTGGCTGAAACCTGAGAAAATGTGGCTTTTGAAGGAACTTTACTATTAATGGCACCAGATGAACTAGACAAGCTTGTCTTGGGTCTGTCTCTATCACTGTGAGACATCTTGGGTCTGTCCCTTTCTCTGTCACTAACAGAGGGCTTGGAAGAAGAAGAGTGGCCTTTGTCACTAGTTGGTGTTGGATGCATCTTCTTCACTGACCCACTGGGCAGACTTGGCTTTTCCACAGAGTTTTTTTGCTTTTTGTAGTTCTTCTGCTCCTTCTCGGAAATGTTTTTTCTTACTGAACTAGAGCTTGGCTGAGACTTACTGTCTCTTTCTTTCGGTCTCTTAGCCTTGCGCTCCATCTCCAATTCTTTTATCTCTTCAGCTGTTCTGAGCCTTTCTTCTTTTTTAACTACCTTGGGTTTCACGTCAACTGGCTCATGTTGCTTCTTCTCTGCCAATTTGAGTAAATCTGCAAAGTTCATGGGAGGTGGAGGGGGCTTGGGTGGCCCACTTGGTTTTTTAGAGGAGAGCTTGCTGCTACTGTTCCCACTAAATCCTGCAGTTTTCCCAGGTCTCAGCAGTTCTGGCTCTGGTTCTGAATCTGACTGTTCATACTCATAATTATCCTCATCATCCTCTGGGTCAACTGAGTTATTCCTAAATCTTTCCTCATTCGCTGATCTTTCTTGCAGCATTTCTTGTTTTGATCTCCTCTTCTTGGGCACATCTACCACTGGGATGCCATTGTAGCCTCTGAAATTGTCCTTAGTTCTGGAAGCCATTGCTCGTGCCTTACGGTCTGACTTCAACTCAACCCTCTTGGCCAGTAGCTCCTCCTTCTGTTTCTTTGATTCAATTTCTGAAAAAAAGAAGGCAGACATTCAAATAATCAATGAGAAATGCATTCTGTACATTGTGTGTTTAACTATCAATCCCTGTTGTCTACCTTGACACTTAATTCTTACAGTGTTACCTTTCTTTTTCATTTCACTGCGTTGCTTCTGCAAAAGTGCCTGCACAGCAGAAGCACTCACACCTTTCGACCTCGGGTCCTTTTTAGGTGGTCCAGCTTGTAGACTGTACCTCTTCTGCTCAAAGAGACACAAATAACACAGGAAAATCCACAGCTTATTCATTTTGACTAGTTGCACAGCCCTCTGTACCGTCTACAATGTTCACATATTTTTATATAAGAAGGTAAGATATTGATTATCAGCTATGTTGGTTTAAAGATCACCATTGATTAGACATATAAAAACGTGACACGACGGTGGGAGTTAGCAGAAAGCGACATTGTCAGATCCTCTCTAACAGATGAGCTGGCATTTGTGAGCTCACAAGGCTGGCCCCAAATCCTGACATTACTGTTAAGCCTGGGTGAAAGTCTTTGTCTTACCTGTATACTGCTGACGCCCTGGTTTTGCGAGGCGATGTCCAATATGTTATCAAAGTCCATCATTTTGGCAGCAGATGATGTAAGATGATTGTTTGAATGAAGATTCAACGAGGAGTGACTGAGTGCTAAAGCTAATGTTAGCGTTTACCTTACAAACCGGGTAAGCTGGCCTGGGATTTAGCGTTACCAAACAGCACTTAACTAGCTATAAAGGAAAACACTTTCTCAAACACAGACCATAAGAAGAAAACGGTATATCAAACAGTTGAAGCTACTTTACTCCATCGGCTTGCGTTAGCACAAGCTAGCAAAGTTAGCGTTAGCTAACCTTACGTTTACCAACGTTAACTGCTGTTAGCCAACCAAGAAGACTGACAGACGAACTTTTGTACTGATTTAACACACCAAACTAAGGTCAAATCCATCAAAATATCGGCAAGACTAAAGCCAACTGAGAGAAAACACTAAAAACGAAGCCATAATGTTGAGCCGGGTGTTGGTAGAGACAAGAACTAACGTTAATGCTGAACTACAGCTAACAACTAACAGCCCCATGCTAACGGCGAGAAAGACAGAATTAAAGTGTCCAAAGAGTACGCTAAGGAAGTGAGAGGACTCACTCCTGCGTGCGTCCGTATTTGCCAGATAACAAAGAGTCAGTAAATAACACAAGCCTATGCTGTTAGAAAAATGAATTTTGTTCAACAAGTACAGTCTTTTAGTGTATGATAGGTAACAGGATGTTGATGCCAGTGTCGAAATGAGAATTTTGGCACATGCAATATGAGGCATGTCTTAAACTTGTACTACGATAGTGACACTCGATTTGTCCCCGTTTCTTGTGTAATTTATGAGAGAGGGGTGATCTATCTTGACAGATTACGATGATGATCGGAGCTGTTCGGCAAAGTGGACTTTGAAATGTTGAGCTGCCTCGATAAAAATGTTTAGCATGGGAAGATATGACGATGTATTTAACACACAACAAACACATAAAAAGAGCTCTGAAAAAAATGTTGACAGTATTATCATAGTAGTATGTAGAAAATTATGTGAAAAGAACATTTCAATATAAACCAAATATTTAACAAGATTGATGGTCATTGGTGATTTTATTTTGTCAGATTCGGCCTCTCTATGATTCCAGGTCATACATTTGTAATAATAATAGTTCTTGGGGTTTTTTGTGTGACTGATGCTTCCGCTTTTCGCCCTATGGTTTCTTTGCGCAATATCCGTCCAAAAACAAATGTTGACACGTGTACACCACATGATGTCGCTACTGTTGCTGATATTCTTCATCAAACCAGCATTTTGTCCAAATATCTGTTAGTCTGAAGCTCTGCAATACTGTAGCCTAACAATATTCTAATACAAGTTAAAATCCTGCTTTCAAAGTTATACATGAGCAAGGGTGCAGAGACGTTATCAAATGTGGGTCTGCTTTACCAAAAGTAGTAGCAATCATTATGCAGAATGTCACTTTTAGGGAATCAGTCATATAACTGTATCATATGTTACATGAGCATTACATGCACATAGTGCAGCATTTTCAATGCTGGCCAATGCTACTTTGAACTACTTTATGTCCTGTTTAGGTGTAAATATTGTATTACATTTGTTAAGCTGCACTTTTATAAACTGCAGTTTTTATACAAATTAAGTGGGATAAAAACTAAAATATCTCCCTTTAAAATGTAGTAGTAGAAGTATAAATTAGCGTGAATTGAAATTCTCCAGTGAAGTACCTCAACGTTCTAGTGAAGTACAGTATTTGGGGAAAAGAAAGTTACTTTTCACTTTTGTGTCCTACAATTGAAGGCAGTGTCTCCCACACATGGGTCCATTTTCCCAGTTTTGGAGCCACAAAAATGCTGCTAAAACACACAATACTTCCATTAAGTATTTTTGACATTTTGTACCACATCAGTCAGTATTCAAAAACTATATAGCCTCCAATCTTTTATCTCTGTGTGTATTTGTGTGTATATATTTGTATACATTTTGGTGTCTACTTCATTCCAATCTGATGTCTTAAGTCATTACCTCAGTTTGAGAAAAATCTTATTATAATCAAGATACATTAAATATACATCTACAACAAAAATGTAACTTCAACAGTCCTGTTAGATTAGTCCTTTAAAGTATAGCAGCAATATTAAAACAGAGCTAAGAGAGAGGGAGAGAAGGTAAATGGAAGAGTAAGGGGGAGAAGAATCCAATTATGAATGTAAATTTTGAAGCAAAACTGTAGTAGTGCTGTACCATGGGATTATATTGATACTAATTTAGGTTAAAAAATTCCATTCAAATCAGTATAAACTCATTTTTAATACCTTAATGATCCAAATTGAAGAGCACTCATATATTTAGTTCAAGTTCTCTATTTATCATATGCACAACCATTACAGAGAAGCAGTCATTAGCAAGGTCTCAGCGTCCTTCCAACAATGCCAGCCTAGTTAAATATGTATAAGAAGATCATGCAATGCAAGCAAAAACAAAATGAGAATCTACACATATAATAGTGCAAGTTAAAATAAGGGATACATGTAACATATATGAAATATATATATTAAAAAAAAAGAATGGACAGCAATTGCAAAAAAAAAAACTGAATGTAGAAGAATGTTAAATGTATAAGCATAATAATAAGTAGCTATATAGAGGTGTAAACAGTATAGAGATGTATCAGTATATACAGTAGCAATGCAATGATAAGATGCATGTGCTCATTATGAGATTTCAGTGGAAAACGTTTGCCTGATTGGAAACAAGCAGAGCGAAGGGAAATCAGATTAATAGCAGTGTATTTAAATCAATGTACGTAATCAGTGCAATCAATCAATGCAATCAGCAATGTATTTAATTAGAGAAACATTTCGACCTCAGATGTGTTTGCCGGGCTTTTTTAATCTGATTCCTAACTCCTAATCTGACCCATTACCAAAGGATTGTCTGCGCACAATCACAAATAAGCTCGACACAAATGTTTCCAACGAGCTCCATCTCTGTAAAATGTAAATAAAGGCCATCTGCTCCGACATGTAAACAGCACACTGAGTCCTCCTATCAGGGCATCCCTCGCGCCTTGGCCCGCCCTCTTTACGACTTCTCTCTGCTCCTATTGGTCAACAGAGTAAACCCCGCCCACGCCACGGCTGGAGTCTCAGTGCCGTATTCAAGGGCTCTGTGGAGTCTAACCTCCTACCGGACGTCGGACCGCCCACCTGAGCGAGGACAAAAACAATCGGCATCTCTCATGCAGTACAAATTAAACAGGAGGACCCCGGCCCAAATTTGATATTAAAAATCTTTCTCGGCGACACGGACACCACCGAGAGAGAAATGGTTTCCCCGGTAACAGTGGTGAGTATCTGCTTCCGGCCAGCGGTGACATTTTCCACACATTAAACAGGATTAATAGTGTTAGCTAGTTTAGCTACACGATAACAGCACTTCCGAAGATAAAACTATCAATCCTTATTCATGTATCTGTCGCTATATGTTCATTATGGCAGCGTCGAGTTATTAATTCACTGTTTAATGTTTATATTTGCGTTATTATCATAGCATAGCGTGTCATACTTTGTCTTCGAGGGGCAGCGCGTGCTCCTGTGCTGATAATTGAATTACCGTTAAACAGGAATGTCTGTTCGGTAAATTAAAAATGCTCAGTCGGGGTGTCCTTATCAGTGTGTTAGTGCCTCGTTTTGTCATACTGTTCCTCTGTTAGTGTCAGTGACTCCGAGCAGGAACTTTTGTGTACAGTGTATCCGCCTCCCTGACATTTGGACACGGTTTAGCAGCGGCTCTTCACCCTATTCCGTCTCTTTATTCCGAGAACAGAAGGACGCTTCTACAAATTTCCAAAGGCAGCCCCGGACAAAAACGCAAACCTGTCATGTGACGACCTTTTTGTCTTTTTTTCTCCCCCTCCGGTAACGCATGCGCCGAGCAGAGCCCTGCTGTGGCTGCCTTTCTTTTCATCTCCTTTGCTGTAGCTGTACTTTACATACACTCTGTTGTTCAGCCCAGCCATTAGCCACATAACTGACCCAAGTGTCACTGCGAAGGAGGAGCAGGCAGTTTTGACAACAAAATTGTGACAGCTTCGTGAATAATTTAACCGGGCCGAGCATCCTCTTACTTTGACAGAGCTGCTATGAAATTTTACCCCATTTGAAGGGGCCAACTTGGCCTGTAGGAAGCCTTGACGTGTAGCCTGTGTGATTGCTGTGAGAGGAGGCTGTGTGGATGGAGGAATGCTTGCCGTACAAACTGGTTGCCTCAGTGATGATGATGCTGTGCAGGTCCTGGGGTTGCTTAACTGCAAAGCCTTGGCCCTAGTATTGCAGTGAAAGGGAGTGTAGGGGCATATGCCAAGCAGTGGCACCTCAAGCGGGGGGCCAGGGGGTCCATGCCCCCCCCCCTCATACAGTCGCCCCCACTTCTGTGAAATAATTGGAGGTTAAAGTGCACTGTTTTTTTTTTTTTGCTTTTAAGATTGAGTTACTTTTTGTGTGCCTTTATTAGATAGGAGCAAGGGGCTACAGGTCGGAAATTAACACACAGCTGCTGTGGTAGGGACATAGCCTTTGTACATGGGGTGCTCGCCCTACCAGTTGCTCAGATGCGTTCATTTTTTTAAGCTAGTGCAAAAGTAGTGGTATCTTACACAAGCAGAGCACCGAATTCACACATTGGTAGCCATACTGGCATAGCTTGTCGGGAAGAAGGCTAAATAACCCTGCACAGCTAGGCTAAATTTTGACGAGGGAACAACTGGCATGGCTATTTTTAAAGGGGTCGTTTGAACTCTTGCCTCATCTTAGGTTCTATAGGTACCCACGAGTCTCCCCTAAACTTAAGGTTTGTTCCCAGTTAATGTTTTGTTCCTTATAATCAATGTACTTCTTCAAATTAAAGCTGTATATTTGTCTCCTTAAAGTTGAAGGACAACCAACCTATTTGAAGAACAATGAAGCAGCTAAAGCCCTGTTCAGACCAAAGATTGACGATGAGACAAAACCGTGACCTGGCCAGTCTCAGCTTGAGTCAGGCCAGCTGATGGTGTCACTTGCGACTCAGCTTGTCAAGTCTCCAGCGGCTCGTTTTATAATGTAAAGCACGTCACCTGTTTCTACAGCCAGTCAGCTTGTGGCCAAGTCTGTTAACTGTCCGCAAATGGCGTGTTAACTTGCTGTGGCCTTCTCTGACAACAGCCCTCCATCCTCACCGTTTCCGTCCTCACGGTTTGTCAGTGTCAGACGGTGGGTTGCTGCTGTTGCTTGTGATATGTGCACATGTCACACGCACACACATTGAGTGATTAACAGGCGCTAGTTATTTAAATGATTGTGGCGTATTTGTTCTGAATATGGCTCATCTGAAGTTCAGGTCAGTTGTTTATGTTTTTGTCGTTACATCAATACTAGAAATCCAATTGTAGCAACTATTGAACTATCACTATTCTTATTCATACTGTAAGTAAGTACATTCAGTATATTCAGATACAAAACAGCCTAAAAAGCGGAAGTACAGACAGTGTGGGATGACACACCATTTCGTCTAGTTGAATTGGTGTGAACTTGCAGATTTTCAGAATGTTGCAGACTTGGGAATTGAAAGTAGTGGCAAGTTTCAACTCATCTCATTGTGAATCTTTGGTCTGAACTTTAAAATAAGAAACCAAAGTATATCAGTATGCGACTCCTTAACTCTCCATATTGACATAGTTTTTCACTCACCTTTATACTTTATCAGCATAATAGACTTCCTGAAATGTCACTGATGGCTTTTGGTATTGGCGTGCCATCCCAACATTTTCCTGGACACATCTGGCTATGGAAAGTTTCTTGGGGCACCACTGGTGCTGAGACAAAACACTGGTGGACAGTGTGTAGTAGGACGCACATTTCTCTCCCTCCAGTTTAAAAAGACAAGTAGGTGAGCAAATGGCATAGACTTTGTGATCATTATGAAACATCACATCGACCATTGCAAACAAAAGTCTATTAATCATCATCAGTTTACTTTTAATTTTCCTCATTTTTGTATACAGTGCTCTCAGAGTATTGTGATCTGTTATTTTGATTTACTGTTATAACTGAAGAATAGATATCAGTGGGTTTAGAGCCTCTATTCCTGCTCAGAGGTCAACTATATTCTGAAAAAGGGTTCATTACCCATTAGATGCTGCTATAAATCTAGTACATCTACCTCACATGCAGCTGTATTAAGGCCTTCTCATTAATTTCTGACTCTAAAATAAGTTTTTATGAGGACATGTTGTCTGCTGAACAGACTGTTGTGCTCTTTGGGGAATGTATCAACTTCAGTCCGTTACAGATGATCTCGTGTCAGTCTCTGAGAGGAGAGACTGGCACAAACTGTACTTATCAAATGTGGACTTTGCCCTTGCTGGCAGGTGCGTGCTGTAACCCAGAGATACAGTGGGAGCTTCAATTTGCTTTTTTGGCTTTTTTAAGTTCAATATTTGAGGTGTTGGTCCCCAAATGTTTTTACAGCACTAAATGTTACATACTTCAAAAACTTATTAAAGTGCAGCAAAAAGATAATGGTACAAAGGTGCATGTTTCAACTGTTTCAACTGTGCCGTACTGTACTGCTTGTCTGAAACTGATCTCAAGATTAAGGATAGACCGATAGGGTTAGGGTTAGGCCGATATATCAAGCCGATATTTGAGTTTTTTACTTGTATCGGCATCTGCCAATACGCACATGGGTTCGCGGATTTATTTTTTCCTGGCATGATTTACAGACAGGCATCCATGGGCAGCTCTGTGTTGCCGGAAGACCCTGCAGCGCACATGCAGCGAATCCTACTGTGTACAGTAGTTGTTGTTTTATTTATGCTTCAGCTTAAATATTTGTTTATTTTATAAAGACATTACTGGAAGATTTAAGAGCACTGAACTCTTTTTTTTTATTTGAATGTATAATAATAATAATAATATTCTACCTGTTCTACCTCAACTTTCCATCTTGTTTTAGTATTTTTTACTGTTCAACAAATGTTTCTTATTTTAAACTTGAGACCTGTAATATTTGTTATCATTGTGTCATTTTTTTGATGTAAATTGAGGGAGCAAAAGCAGTATTGGCCCCCAATATCGGCTCAAGAAAATCAGCAGTCCATAATCGGTCATCGGCTAAGGGTGATGGAAAAAAATCGGTATCGGCATCGGCCCTAAAAAATCCATATCGGTCTATCCCTACTCAAGATATCCTTGGAGTTAAAGCAGCTGTAAGAGGGATCCTTCCCACAACAGTGTTGCATGATGCTACATAGAAATAACATTGTCATATGACTCACATGCCAGCTGTGCCTGCCAGGACCATACTTATGTTACAGTTCCCCTCTGCCAAATTAAGTACACAAGACTTTACAGGTCTTTTATATGTTTATGCGTATCATGTTTCTGCCACTCAGCCAGCGTATGACCCAGAGTGACCCAGAAAAATTGAATAGATGTTCATCCTGGCTGGATGTTATTCAGTGCTTCAATGCGGTACTTTTGTTGGTTCATGGTTGGTGCAGAAGCAATAGCGGCTTGTTCCTTCCTGAACTGCAGTTACAAGATGGGTTTGGGTTCTGGTTGCTGATAGTTTGGCCAGATACAGAGGTGTACAGATGAATTAGCGTGTAAGTATAGTCATCACTTCTTTTGTAGCATTCTCAAGGGATTCTGCATCATTTGCAAGCTTGAAAAATACATTGATTTTGTAGTTAAACATAGCTAAAGAAGCACTGCATCAAAATACTTTGCTAAAATCCTTTGTTCCATCAAGCCATGTCATCCTGCTGTTCATTTCCAGCAGAGCAACCCTCTATTGCTTGTTAGTGACGATGTAAATGCAGTCAATCATTAACCATATTCTTTAACAAGGGACAGAGGGAGGTGTTTGCAGCCAGTCAGCTGTATCACTACAGCACTTCTGCAAACAGCCTTCATTTACAACGCGATCATTCAGACAGCAAGATGATAACAAACTGATTCATTTTGTTTGCCTCCCAAATGAGGCAGTATGTTCTGTTCTCTTATGCTGGCGACAGCTGACTGTCACACAGGGGCTCGTAGCCGTCACTAATATCCCCTTCAGCGTCCCTGCAGACCAACTGACGCCTCAATCAATGTGAGTGGAGTAGGTTACAGCTGAGACGATACCGTGCGGCAACCGCCCCCGACAGTCTCATTCAGGTACATAATGCTGAACAGGAGAACTAGGCTGAACCCGAGAGAAATAAAACTACTACATTCACTGTGGACCGATTTATGGAGTTCATCAGGCAATTAGGCCTTGTTAATGTAACAGTTTGATACAAGGAGAAGATTAGAGAAGAA